GGCTTTCTTTCGGGTAGCCGTTCTGACGCTTCTTTGGAGAAGACGTTCAGGAACTCGTGGTACTGTTTAGGTACTGACTCCTCGGCGGTTTTGACGACCTTCTTTTTGATCTCTTCCTCAGCGAACAGCTGGGAATACGTGTGCCCTGCTGCGATGAACAGCTGAGGGGCACCGGGAAGCATGACACCCTGCTCCCAGGCCTCGATCAAGTCAGCTTCGTCCCACTCTACCTCCACCGGATCATCTTCGGGTTCGAAGTCCGGGAGTACCTTACTCCGGCAAGCACCTATGACCAACCGCCTGGACTTCTGCGAGCGTCTGCGCGCCGTGGGCCTGACCCCCGTATCACGCGCAGTCGCTGCTTGCTCCATCCGGCCAGTCTTCCTGGCCCTGCACGTTTCAGGGCATCGTGATAGAGCCTGACTCCCAATTGATTTCGGGGTTGTGCTCTCGCAGCCAATCCAACCCGACGATCACATCTTCTGGACCTATGTCCGTGACCGTGAACACCATCTTTTCGACGTGCTCTCCTTTCTGCATCTGTAGCACGGCTACCTCCGAGATGCTTCCGTCTTTATTGAGTGTTCCATCGATATTGTACAGCGGAATTGGTTCTTTCAATTTCCGCGTTCGTACTCGATTCTCCGTGATGAAACGTTTGTTGATGAACTTCGTGGTGGCTCCACTGTCCACCATTGCGACTATATCCTTGTGCCGTCTTTCTCCTTTAAGGCGCACCGGGATGTGGAAATGCTGGGACCCATGGTCCAACTCGTACACATTCGCAGTCGCCAATACATTGTACAGATTATTATTATGCGGCCCGACGCGTGCGGCACGAAGCGCGGACCGGATCAAAAAGACTCCTCCTTCATTGCCTGATAGTGCTCGAGCTCCTCGCGCATCGACTTCACCTGTGCCATTAAGCCCGCCAGCTCCGACTGCTCGGATTTCGCTGAAGCGGCACTTATACTTGCCGAGGGTGATGTCGTGACGGGGGTGCTTGTCGCAGCCTGGGTGGATCCCGAGGCAACCGTAGCCCGCGCGTCGGCGCGTTTTGTGTAAGGTTTGTCCTTACAATTGGGGCACTCGAAACGTCGGTACCCTTGCTTCCCACAGCCGAAGCATGTGCCGGGGAAGTTGCCTTTTCCGACGGCCGCATTGATGCTGGCCGAAGCTGCATGTGACAGGGGTGCACCACCACGCGCCCCACCGCGTCCTCGACCTCGGGCCGAGAAGAAATTGTTCAGCTCGGGCCGATGAGCCCGGCTGATGTCGAGGATTTGCTCGACCTCAGTGGCGCGCTTCTCAGCTGCTTGCCACGTGGCGAAGGTCTCGAGCTCGATCTTGCGGTAGACGCGGGAGGGGATGCCGCTCAGGTACTTGTCGCGTAGTTCCAGGTCCCCATACCCGGAACGGTCCGCCGGACCCTTGAACAGCGCGGAGAACTCCGCGGCGGTGCGTTTTTCACGGACCGATTTGTCCGCGCAGAGCTTCGCCAGCTCTACTTGTGCTGCCGCCTCGTCGTCGAGATTTCCGAAGCGGGCCCTGAAGGCGGCGGCAAAGGCCGCTTCGTTTGCGAACGGGGTCGTGGCCCCTTGTACACCCACCTGCACCGATGCGAGCTGGGCAAAGTAGGGAGTGGCCCAGGCACGGGCATCTCCATCGAGCAGGCTAAGGGCGACCTGCACTTTGAGTTCGATAGTGGTCAACGACGTGTTGACCAGCCAGTAGATGCGCAGCTGCGACAAGAACCGGTTGCACTCGATGATGGTTTTGCCATCGTAGCGGAGCGGGAGGAGGAGTTTCAAAGTCTCCTTATCGGGGGCGGCTGCAGGAGAGGACATTATTGACGTCGGGGGGGACGGAGGACGCTGCGGGGGCGGAGGCGGCTGTGGTGGCCCTCCGCTGGTCGAACTTCGAGAGGAGCAAGTGCTCGAGCGGCCTCTCGGCGGAGTCGGCGGTGAAGGCGCCGAAGGAAGTTCGGTGGCGGGGTCACGTACGTCAGGGACTGCTGACGCGGGGGCGAGCGCTGTCGGCGAGGCGGACCCAACAGAATCCTCGGACTCGGACTCCGAGACTCCTTCTTCACCTGCACCCTCCTCAGGCTCTGGCTCTGGCGCAGGGTCTGGAGAGAGATTTCCTCGAGCTTGACTGGATTCGGCGACAGTTTGGGGAAGGCGGGAAGTAGGGGAGACAGGGCGAGAGTGCCGCGAGGCCGATCGAGATGCGAGGGTGCTTCGGGGTCCGAGCGGGTGTTGCGCTCGTCGGATTGCCTTGTAACGAGGGTAATCTTCCTCGATCGATCGGGGTGTCCGATTTGGGCACGGCTGCTGCTCGCAACGGTAGAGGATAGTCTCAGGGCCGTCTGGGATGTAGACGTCGATGAGGTCCTGAGAGTCGAATGCGTGGATCTGGCCTTGGCAGGCAGCCACGATGGATGGGGGGAGGACGGGGAGGTGCGCGTACTAAAATGGCCGTACTACACTAGCTTACGCTACGGCGCCCGAGGAGACACTAGGGTTCGCAGTTCACGTGGGGCCCAGTACTGCTTTTGACTATTGACTATTATGCAGCAGGAACCTAGTCCACGCGTCCGTGAGGACAAGTACCGCCCACTGAAGTGCAGGTACTGAAGAGTTCGTTCCCTGAGTGGTGGCGATGTATGTACGCTATCTATGTATCGTAATGTACCGTAGGGGTGCGCACCACCCGCCCTGTGGGAAAGGAAAGTGAATATAAGGGGTCCCGAGGGGACGCCAGCAGCTTGGGAAGTTTTGACCTAATGTCGCGACTTGAGGTCAAGCGACTGAGGAAAAACCTAAATGCTGGGGGTGTCCGACTAAGTCTCACCGAAGCGATGGTGAGCTATGCTCAAACCTAAGGCTAGGGACAAGAAAGTATATTAGTTAGTATAAGTAAGTAAGCAGATACATGAACGCTTACTGACCTAGGGACAAGAGGTCGAAACTGAGGT